ATTCTTCTTCTCATTCTTCTTTTCATTCTTCTTCTTCTTTTCATTCTTCTTTTCATTCTTCTCATTCTTCTTTTCATTCTTCTTTTCATTCTTCTTCTCATTCTTCTTTTCATTCTTCTTCTTCTTCTTCTTTTCATTTTTCTTCTTCTTCTTTTCATTCTTATTTTCATTCTTCTCATTCTTCTTTTCATTCTTCTTTTCATTCTTCTTCTCATTCTTCTTTTCATTCTTCTTCTTTTCATTCTTCTTCTTCTTCTTTTCATTCTTCTTCTTTTCATTCTTCTTTTCATTCTTCTTCTTCTTCTTTTCATTCTTCTTCTTCTTCTTTTCATTCTTCTTTTCATTCTTCTTCTTCTTCTTTTCATTCTTCTTCTTCTTCTTTTCATTCTTCTTCTTCTTTTCATTCTTCTTTTCATTCTTCTTCTTCTTCTTTCCATTCTTCTTCTTCTTCTTTTCATTCTTCTTCTCTTCTTCTTTTCATTCTTCTTCTTCTTTCATTCTTCTTTTCATTCTTCTTCTTCTTCTTTTCATTCTTCTTCTTCTTTTCATTCTTCTTCTTCTCTTTTTCATTCTTCTTTTCATTCTTCTTCTTCTTCTTTTCATTCTTCTTCTTCTTCTTTTCATTCTTCTTCTTCTTTTCATTCTTCTTTTCATTCTTCTTCTTCTTCTTCTTCTTTTCATTCTTCTTCTTCTTCTTTTCATTCTTCTTCTTCTTCTTCTTCTTTTCATTCTTCTTTTCATTCTTCTTCTTCTTCTTTTCATTCTTCTTCTTCTTCTTCTTTTCATTCTTCTTTTCATTCTTCTAATTCTTCTTTTCATTCTTCTTTTCATTCTTCTTCTCATTCTTCTTTTCATTCTTCTTCTTCTTTTCATTCTTCTTCTTCTTCTTTTCATTCTTTTTTTCATTCTTCTTCTTCTTTTCATTCTTCTTCTTCTTCTTTTCATTCTTCTTTTCATTCTTCTTCTTCTTCTTCTTCGTCGTGCCCCGTGACTGCCCAAATGAGTGAAGTGTGCGGTGATTCTAAGATCGACGGCACTCATCTGCATGTCATACTGACTGACAGTATTATTTCTCTTCCCCAGCAGACTCCAAGGGCATTTAAATTAAAGGTACAGTGTTCTGCACTAATATAAAGGCTCTCTGAAGCCTAGAAACCCTTTTAATAAGTTAAAATTCGCGGCGAATAAATTTGCATCGAATCTAATTTCTCCCGCAAATTCGGCGAATCAGCCGAATCGAATTTTTGAATAATTCGCTCATCTCTAATGATAATAGTAATAATAATAATAATAATAATTAAATGATGTAATAATAATTAATGTAGTATATTTCTATATTTGTATAATATTTTAACGCTCCGGAAATATACTTTCCATTCTACAATGTGTCATAAGTTTCTATTATTCCTATAAGAGTAATATGTTTCTTGTATCTTTTAACAAAAGATATTCTAATAACTGGAATAACTCTATGAAGTTTTAACCAAAAAATATTCCGTATATGAATATGTAAAAAATAAAAAATAATAATAATAATAATATGGATGTAAGTATCGGAATAAAAGGATCATTAAAATGTATATGTGACCTATAACAATATTATCAATAATAAATTATTTTATCACTAATAAATAGATTTCCTCTTGATGAATCTTTTCTTCATGCAATGTCTATACAATATCTTCTTTAAGTTCTGTAAAGTAGAAACATTCTTGTTGAATGTGATAAATCAGTCACAAGTGTGAAGTATTAAGCTCTTGTTCAATCTTCTTCCATATGAAGATCTCTTCTTTAACGTCCGAATTCCTTAAAGTTGGCTTGTAGGAGATTGTTACGCTTCATGTTTGATTTTAGATGTCATTTCTGTGAAGAAATGCAGTATCATTACTTTGGCACAAACATTGCATTATTCTTGCACCTATTTCAACAAATATGAAAGATTATGGAACAATCAGTGTATGAGTTTGAAACACATATTGTGAAGTATCATTACTTCCTATTTCCTTTTACAGAAAACTTCTATATATCAATCAAAATACTGTCCTAATCCTGTCTGAAATTACCTAAACTAGAATACAAAAGTAGTGTGTTATTTAGGTATGACAGGACGCAATATTTCATCATAGGTCATGACCGCAAAAACCCCGGTTTTTACTAAACAAAGAAAGGTTTTGTATCACCCCCAGAGATGACAAAGGTTATGCCTTTGTTCTCATCCCTATAATATTAGAATAATATGCGTAACTGTTTTCTGTGCTGATGTCATTATTCTGGTGTTTAGAGTGTTCTTCAGTAATACATGTGTTTGCTGTGAATGTGAGGTAGAGACTTGTCTGATACAGCTGTACCTATCACAATGTGTTTGGCTAACAGTGCTCTTATCCACGAACTGAGGATACCTTTCAGGACATTCTCTGAATGTATCTTCCTTCAAGAATTCTTCTTAGTGAACTGTCAGGAGACTGTAATATGACAATGCATACGCTATGGTGGACTTCACTGTGCTTTGTGAAGCTTTGAGGCGGTATTGATTGCATAAAAGAAACTCAACAGTTGTTTGTGCCTCTGATGTCACAGTTTTTTTTCCAATGGTGATAAATCTCTGGAGAAGTAACTAATTAGTCTCTCATTACGTTCTTTTTAATTGAGACAAAGTTACTGAAATTGCATTCTCAGATACATGAGTTTTCACAACAAAAGGAGCATTGGAACAAACCTCAACTGTACCTAATGCTGGCGCATTCTGCAAATGCTTTTTCAACACTTTTAAAGCATTATTCTCATTTGGACCCCATTGGTCAACTAAGTTATTTTTACTCTTCAAAAGATGATGTAATGGCTTAACTTTCTCTGCGAAAAACCATGTATAAACTCTTTACAGTGGTTTATGTCTTTTTCAACTATAATATTAGAAATATGTTTATTCAGTGTCCTGAAATCAACTGACAAAGAATATGAATTGTCAGCATTTTTGATAGGCCAAATACAGTTATTTACTACTGATTGTGTTTTTCTTTTAAAATGCCAAGTTGTACTAAAACTCTTGCCTAAATAATTAATGGCAGAAAGTGGTCCTAATTACAGGATTCTCGTGGTAATTCATTGAATTGATTAAAGGGCTTTAGGATACTTTTCCCCTCAATATTCAATGCTGTATCTTTCAATGTTCCTATGTCAATTTTTAAACTTTGACCACAAACTTGGAAAACGTTGTATACCAATTCCTTGTAAAGCACAATTACCATTAGTATCAGGCCATTTTTTGTGCTGTGGACATTTTAGAGTTTGAAACAACATCACTGTATATAGAAGGATCCCCCCCCCCCCCCCATTAACATTGATTTGGCCCTAGAAAGGATTCCTCCCAAAGATAACTTTGGTCATAATATCAAATAATCCACTTCGATGCTTATTGATAAAATCAATGCCAAGAATATTCTCGGGTGGCGATTACTATACCAAATATCAATGTTAGTTTTCACCTAGCCCAGGTATTTCAAATGTTATACATTAGGCACCTGTCCCCTAGCAGTTGGAATGACCTGTATTATTAAAACCTTTTATTTTACACATGGGTGAATTTGGTTTCACAGGTACGTTTTCTCGATGGTCAAGATTAATCTCAGATACCGCTGTCATTAGGAATCTGATCTTTTTAACCATTTAGTCAAATCCGTCTATAAAAGTGGCCTTCCATTGTCATCCAATACAATTGGAGCGACAAATTCTAACGATATCGGGGATGAATGTGGACGTGATTCTATTTTTGGAACTGGTAAAAAACCATTTCTGTCAGTGACTACCCTATCTCACCCTGAGTTGTCAGAACAGTTGTTTCTAGTTGTATGAATTTGTTTAACTGATGATGCATAAGGCAATTCAGTTAAATTTTTTATCATATCTACACAACAAAGCAGTTGTACAAAAGCAGCTTTTTCAACTTTTTATTTCTTTATTCATTTTCTTTAATTTGTGAGTCAAATTTAAACCTTCAACAACAATGGCGTCTGATAATACCTTGTTTATTACAGTGAAAGCATGTGTTATACTCGATTACATGACTCACTTGCTTGGCATTTTCAGGATCGTAGTCATTCTTACTGGGACCTGTAGTTTCCTGAGCATAAGCTGTAAATCTGACTGTTGTTTTTCACTTTGAAGCGCAGGCTACCGTCAGCTATTACTAGAGATGAGCGAAGTATTCAAAAATTCGATTCGGGCTCTGATTTCGGCGAATTCGAGGAATAAATTTCGATTCGAGTCGAATATATTCGCTGCGAATTTAACTTATAAAAATGGGTGTTTTCTAGGCTTCAGAGAGCCTTTATAATAGTGCAGAACACTGGTACCTTTAATTTAAATGCCCTTGGAGTCTGCTGGGGAAGAGAAATAATAACTGTCAGTCAGTAATGACATGCACGATGATGCCGTCGATCTTAGAATCACCGCACACTTCACTACATTTGGGCAGTTCACGGGGCCAAAAACCAGAGTGTGGAGCCACAGTGTGGCGGTGGAGGCAGCAGCAATGGAGAGGCCATACAGCACCCTATGACAAAAAATGGAAACCCACCAGCAGTGTGAGGAGACCTGAAAGTGGCACATGTGCCAGAGTGTGGCGATGGAGACAGACAGCACAATGGGAGGCCGTACAGGGACCCATGAGACACTCTTGGCAGCAGCTATGGCAGTACAGGCAATTATGCCTGTACACATGAGGAGTTCCGGTACGGGGGCCCATGCAGATTACGGGCCTGGCAGCAGCAATGGGAGGCCGAATCTGCCAGCACCCTATGACAAAATGGAACCCACCACAGATGTGAGCGATACCCTGAAAGTGGCACATGGCAGAGTGTGGCGATGGCAATACAGCAGCAATGGGAGGCCGTACAGGGACCCATGACACACTCTGCTTACCTGGCAGCAGCATCAGAGAGGAGGCGGTACAGGGCCCATGACAGATTACGGACCTGGCAGCAGCGAATGGGATGCCCGTAATCTGCCAGCACCCAATGACAAAATGGAACCCACCAGCAGTGTGAGGAGACCTGAAAGTGGCACATGGCAGAGACTCTGTGGCGATGGAGACAGCAGCAATGGGAAGGCCGTACAGGGACCCATGACACACTGGACCTGGCAGCAGCATGAGGAGGCGTACAGGGGACCCCATGCAGATTTACGGGTGCTTGCAGCAGCAATGGGAGGCCTGTAATCTGCCAGCCCCCTATGACAAAATGAACCCACCAGCAGTGTGAGGAGAACCTGAAAGTGGCACATGGCAGAGTGAGGCGATGGAGAAACAGCAGCAATGGGAGGCCGTACAGGGACCCCATGACACACTCTGGACCTGGCAGTAGCATGAGGAGTCGGTACGGGGGGCCCATGGCAGATTACGGGCCTGGCAGCAGCAAAGGGAGGCCCGTAATCTGCCCAGCCACTGCACCCTATGACAAAATGGAAAACCCACCAGCAGTGTGAGGAGACCTGAAAGTGGCACATGCAGAGTGTGGCGATGGAGACAGCAGCAATGGAGGCCGTACAGGGACCCATGAGACACTCTTGACCTGGCAGCAGCATGAGAGTCGGTACGGGGGCCCATGGCAGCAGATTACGGGCCCATGGCAATAGCAGCAATGGGAGGAAAGGGCGGCCCGTAATCTGCCAGCACCCTACTGACAAAAATGGAATCCCCACCAGCAGTGTGAGGAGAACCTGAAAGTGGCACATGGCAGAGTGTGGCGATGAGAACAGCAGGTCAATGGGAGGCCGTACAGGGACCCATGACACACTCTGGACCTGGCAGCGCATGCATGGAAGGGCGGTAACGGGGGCCCATGTGCAGAATTACGGGCCTGGCGCAGCAATGGGAGGCCCGTAATCTGCCAGCACCCTATGACAAAAATGGAACCCAACCAGCAGTGTGAGGAGACCTGAAAGTGGCACATGGCAGAGTGTGGGCGATTGGAGACAGCAGCAATGGGAGCCGTACAGGGACCCATGACAGACACTCTGGGCCTGGCAGCAGCATGATGAGGCGGTACAGGGGCCCATGGACAGATTACGGGCCTGGCAGCAGCAATGGGAGGCCCGTAATCTGCCAGCACCCTATGACAAAAATGGAACCCACCAGCAGTGGTGAAGGAGACCTGAAAGTGGCACATTGCAGAGTGTGGCGATGGAGACAGCAGCAATGGGAGGCCGTACAGGGACCCATGACAGATTACGGGACCTGGCAGCAGCATGAGGAGTCGGTACGGGGGCCCATGCAGATTACGGCCTGGCAGCAGCAATGGGAGGCCCGTAATCTGCCAGCACCCTATGACAAAATCGGAACCCACCAGCAGTGTTGAGGAGACGCTGAAAGTGGCACATGGCAGAGTGTGCGGCGATGGAGACAATGGGCCCCCCTGGACCCACTGACACTTGACTTTCTGGCCACATAGTCGACATACGGCTACGTTTGACACTTCCGCGGGCCCGGTGCAGATTGACGAAAAATTGCCACACACCGCCCGAGAAGGAAACTTGCCCCCGCTAGAACTCCGTCACTGGCTGACTGCTACTTCCTCCCGGCACACCGCACCACTACTGGCCGTCGGTGGGTAGGCTGGCAGTGGAGCTGGTGCACTACTCTCGGGGCCGTTTAGGCCTCCCACTGAAGTACTGCTGCGACCCGCTGCCTCCTGGGGCAACCCACCGACTGCACAATTTGCGGCCGCTGCAGCCGCAAAGGCTGCAACCCTCTTCTCCTGAATATGCGTGGAAGCCCAATATCCTGATGACGACCGAGGCTCGGCCAAGTGCAGATCAGCCTCATCAACACAATTAGAGGTCGTTCCGCCTCACTACTAAGCCCCCTCTGCATGGTCTGCGTGTGGGTCAGGAGAACAGACCTGTCTGCTAAACCGGCTACCGAGCCGACTCTGCCTCTCCCATACTGTTCTTCGCCTGGGCTGCTGAAGACCTGCGGAAGTCCTGCCCCCCGTTCCTGACCGCCCTCTGTTAGCTCTTCCTCACTGTACGTGGGGGCTGAGCCCACAGCATGCGATACACTTCGCTTGGTGAGGGAAGACCAAAGGACAGGGGTCAGGTAGAGGACACGTGATTTCAGGGGGCTTTGCTCCGGGCCAATGCCCTAACTAATCGGTTGTGTCTGACGTACCCACCGACCGTTGGCTGTAGGTGTCCAGAGGTGACCTGGGAAGCAGGAAGACGTCCGACAGGCAACCATCGTGACCTTGACGGCAGGGTTGTCCGGTGGGGGACACGACCGCCTGGATGACACCGGGAGCACGGGAGGCCTTCCTGGCTGCGAATAGTGCTGGGCCTCGACCCCTTCCTCTGCTGCCCACGTCTCATCTCGCTCCTGAAAACATTGCCTCCTCTAGTCCCACTCCACTGAGTGGTGTTGTCTGACATACTCTTTAAATTCAACGATTCTGTGTTCCTCAGTAAACGAGAAGAAACTTCGACTCCTGTGTCCCTGAGTAACAATTCTGTGTCTGTCACCCTGAGTAACAATTCTGTGTCCCTCACTAAAAATTCTGTGTTCCCTCATTAACAATTCTCACTGTCTCTGGTCCCTGAGTAACAATTCTGTGTCCCTCAGTAACAATTCTGTGACCCTCAGTAACAATTCTGTGTCCCTCTCAGTGCCAATTCTGTGTCCCTGAGTAACAGTTCTGTGTCCCTGAGTAACAGTTCTGTGTCCACTGAGTAACAATTCTGTGTCCCTGAGTAACAATTCTGTGTCCCTCAGTAACAATTCTGTTGTGTCCCAATCAGTAACAATTCTGTGTCTGTCCCCTGAGTAACAATTCTGTGTCCCTCAGTAACAATTCTGTGTCCCTCAGTAACAATTCTGTGCACCCCCTCAGTAACAATTCTGTGTCTGTCCCTGAGTAACAATTCTGTGTCCCTGAGTAACAGTTCTGTGTCCCTGAGTAACAATTTTTTTGTGTCCCTGAGTAACAATTCTGTGTCCCTGAGTAACAATTCTGTGTCCCTGAGTAACAATTCTGTGTCCCTGAGTAACAATTCTGTGTCCCTCAGTAACAATTCTGTGTGTCTCTGTCCCTGAGTAACAATTCTGTGTCCCTGAGTAACAATTCTGTGTCCCTCAGTAACAATTCTGTGTCCCCTCAGGTAACAATTCTGTGTCTGTCCCCTGAGTAACAATTCTGTGTCCCTGAGTAACAATTCTGTGTCCCTGAGTAAACAATTCTGTGTCCCTCAGTAACAATTCTGTGTCCCTCAGTAACAATTCTGTGTCCCTCAGTAACAATTCTGTGTCTGTCCCTGAGTAACAATTCTGTGTCCCCTGAGTAACAGTTCTGTGTCCCTGAGTAACAATTCTGTGTCCCTGAGTAACAGTTCTGTGTCCCTGAGTAACTCATTCTGTGTCCCTGAGTAACAGTTCTGTGTCCCTGAGTAACAATTCTGTGTCCCTGAGTAACAATTCTGTGTCCCTGGAGTAACAATTCTGTGTCCCACAGTAAACAATTTCTGTGTCCCTCAGTAACAATTCTGTGTCCCTCAGTAACAATTCTGTGTCTGTCCCTGAGTAACAATTCTGTGTTTACCCTAATTAACAGTTCTGTGTCCCTGAGTAACAATTCTGTGTCCCCTGAGTAACAGTTCTGTGTCCCTGAGTAACAATTCTGTGTCCCTCAGTAACAATTCTGTTGTCCCTCAGTAACAATTCTGTGTCCCTCAGTAACAATTCTGTGTCTGTCCCTGAGTAACAATTCTGTGTCCCTCAGTATCAATTCTGTGTCCCTCAGTAACAATTCTGTGTCCCTCAGTAACAATTCTGTGTCTGTCCCTGAGTAACAATTCTGTGTCCCTGAGTAACAGTTTCTGTGTCCATGAGTTAACAATTCTGTATCCCTGAGTCACAGTTCTGTGTCCCTGAGTAACAATTCTGTGTCCTTCAGTAACAATTCTGTGTCCCTCAGTAACAATTCTGTGTCCCTCGAGTAACAATCTGTGTCCCTGAGTAACAATTCTGTGTCCCTCAGTAACAATTTTCTGTGTCCCTCAGTAACAATTCTGTGTCCCTCAGTAACAATTCTGTGTCTGTCCCTGAGTAAGAATTCTGTGTCCCTGAGTAACAATTCTGTGTCCCTAAGTAACGATTCTGTGTCCCTGGAGTAAAGTCTCTTTGCCCTAACTCTGTCCCTAATACAGAGAGTTTCTGTCTCTCTTGAATGACCGTAGGGGAGGCTAATGGAGAATTCAAGATGGCCGCAATTTATAGCTCGAGTAACCATTACACAGTGGCTGGCTGGCTGGCTGGCTGCTGATTGGCTAATGCGATCACATGTCATGAATGAATGCATTATGGGTCAGAGCGCGCCTTGTCTGCGCGCCTCTGGTCGCCAGACATCCCCTCGTGTCCGTCGCCACACATGTCGCCGCCGCCATTTTTGGAAAATTTCGATTCGCGCATCCGAAGTTTGCTAATTTTTCGGATTCGGCGCGAATCCTAATCTTCGAAACGAATTCCACTTCGCCAATTGTTTGATTCGCTCATCTCTACTCATAAGTGAAATGGTTGTTTTTCAATTTCCTCCGAATTTTGTCAATGAAACTTACTATGTCATTCAAATTTTGTTTTTTCCTCTGCTATGACAAGGTTTACTGGGTCTAGAATACGTGAATTTCTTTACAAAAGCTTTGATCATAGCTGAGTCTTCCTCATTTTTCTACTCCAAATAAAATTTTATAATAAATGCTTTGGAAAACTTATTTTTAAATTCAAAAGGGTCTTCGTCAGCAGTAGTCTGAAGTAAGTCTAGCATTTCTACAGAAGGTACGTCTTCACCTGTTGAACATAACAGCAATTGTCGCAGTCTGTCTGTTGCGTCATTATGTTTTTTCTGATCTTTATCGTTAACAACAGAAATTTTTAATTCGAGACATAAATTTTAATTGGTAGCCACATCGGAAATAAATAATTTATGTCATGATCTGAAATCTGATGGCATTTGACATGCATTTCATATATTTCCATGTTGCTGTAGATATCTTTATCTGGATCATAAGCAGGGATGTCTTTTAAAACTTTCATTAATTGATTATGTATTTGCAACTTAAGTTTTGCAGTTTTACATAACAATTCTTTATGTTTAATTTGTGTTTCGTCATCAGAGTCAATATCCGAACTTTCAGAGATATCGGACAGCCGTGGCTCTGATTTTGAATCACTCTGTTTGTCATCTGTGTTTATCATGGCAACCTGTTTACTGTCATTCTGCAGTCTTAACAAAAGATTTGTCTTTAAGTCAATTTGTTCCTCAAGATTCTCTATGTAATTACAGAAAATGTCACAGTTTGGGCAACTAGGAGCATCTTGAGACAAATTTTCATGCGTTTCTGTATTCTGTACAGTGTTACATTCTGTCTGTTTTAATGTACAAGCTTTTTTAACAGATAAATCAACATTCAAAATCATTTTGTTGAATATTCTTACTAAATTTAAGATGTTAGATATCTTTTTACGTTGTCTGTGCACAGTATATCTAGATTTATCTATCTGAATATTGGCCTGTAAACATTCGTTATACATATAGTGCCATAGCTGACTGTCTTCAGGATATAAAGAAACATCTTTAAATTCTAACTTGCTTTCATTTACTAAGTCATCAATAAACTCCATAATTGTTACTCACCGTAATCAGAAGATTTTCTCGTTTGACCCGGCTCAGTCACTGGAATTCTCGTCCAAGTCTGTTTAATCGCCTGTTCTGCTAGGATTTTTGCACCGTGTGTTTCCCAAGACTTGACAATCACAGAATCGTGCGTTTTTCCCCCTTAGCAAGGCATGGGAATACTCGGCGATGGCTGGCTCACCAAAATGTTGGATTTTTAGACACATATAATACTTCTTCTAGTGTCTTGAGGCGATTATGAATGAAAGAGCCATTGAAATAAAAAATGAAGTGTGATTTTATTCTATCACACAATGGTGTCAAATAACAATGTAAAGCGTATTATGAACAGTTCCATGTAGATGAAACTACTGTAAA